AAAGATCTTTTGAAGAAGTGGAAGGATGTCAAAAGGACGGTCTTAAAATGGCATCCAAACCAGGGTGAGGTTAATAGGCTTAGGAATCTCTACAATTACAATGCTATTAATTACTTACTTACTTCTGAAAAATTATGAAGACAGAAAAGCAATCAACATTGGACATATTCTTTAATCCCCACAAACGGATAAAACATAACTAATAAAAATGCAAGACTTTGTTTATATATGTATTTTTACTATTACATATAAATAAACATAGTAAAAAAGTATATATTTTTTATTTTTGGAGTCTCTGGAACGAATTAATCAAATTCCTATAAAAACCTATGGTAAACTGATAATCGGTTAATGAACAATTCGGATAATGAACAAAGTCTTGGAACGGATTATGTTCGTTAACCGATCACCCACTGTATAAAATAGAAAGGTTGATGTACAAGTATCAGCGCAAAACATGTACGGCTGACGGTCCAAGCGCCGCCATCTGGCAATTCTACATGGTCGATAATGGCATTCGCTTCATGTAGAATGGCAAGTACAAGATCGGTTAAATTAAACTTCTTCATTTTTTTCCCCTCTTTGGGGTTAAAATTATGACCTATTTTATTAATATAATGATTATTTAAGCATTTACGAATAGCATTGTGAAGAAACAGACGATTTTAATTCAGAAATTTTTAATTATTCAATTTTTCACAAGTGATGTAAAGTGTCGATAACATTTTTATAGCTGTGTTCATAAAATAACTTATCATAGTTTTCTTTACAGAATAATCAAGCCAGTTTGCGAAGATCTGGAACAGAAGAGGAATTTACAGAACGTAATCAACTTCTACAAGAAATAAAAGAGTTAAAATATGAGGCTCAGATAACATCTGAGAAATCACAACCACAAGCCATTGCTGGGCAGCAAGTCAGGGATGCAGCAATGACATCTTTAAGTGTATCATCTCCTGAGTTTCCATCTGGTAAATATAAAAACTTAAAAATTATTTACATTATACTTATTATGACAATTGTATAATAGTTATACATTTCTAATTATTTTTAGATGAAGATACCAATGTCACCAAAAAAGTAAAAAAAACCTTCTTCTCTCATACTTACAAAGCAAGCAAGACAAAGAGAATCAGTTGAAACAAGAAGAATTACATTTAAATAAAGAACGACTGAAACTGGAACAAGAAAAATTAGATTTTGAAAAAGCAAAATTTGATTTAGAGAAAAGAGAGAGAGAAGCAAGACTGAACCTAGAGAGAGAGAAATCTGATTTAGAGAAAAGAGAGAGAGAAGCAAGACTGAACCTAGAGAGAGAGAAATCTGATTTAGAGAGGAAAGAAAGAGAAATGTTATTACAAATACTTTTAAAAACTTTGAATAAAAATTAAAGAAAAATTGTTACAAAATTGAATAAAAATTTTTATTATAAAATTGAAAAAATTCTTTATTTATTTATTGATTACATTCTAAGTATTTATCCAATTTGGGGGGTAAACAATTAAAATAATCTGATGTTGCACTACCATATAAGCAAGTGTGACAATTTGTAAGTAGTGCACCAACAATATACAGTTTACCGACAGGCTGAAGAAACAATTTCAAATTTTTTTTAAAATCTAGAAAAGCAAATTTTTGAATTATTTTCCCAAATACCCATTCCACACACTCTCTTACTGAACTCATCCTGGAATTAAATACTTGTTGCTCGGGTGTTAAGCTAGCATCTTGGAATGGTGTAATGAGGTGTTGATGCAAAGGATAACCAGAATATCCATATAAAACAAATTGGGTCCCGTTCTCAGAATAAGGAATCGCAGCCAAATGCTCTAACAAATTAGATTCTCTTAACATTCCACTGTCATGACGTCTTCCTTCTATTGGTCCAAATAAATTAGCAATCATACCATCAGGTGTAACCACTGATTGAAATTTCAAACAATGTATACGTTTATGGCCACTGAATACCACCCTTTGATGTGTTATTGGTCGACAAATAGGATGTGCCGTTCCATTTACAAACCCCCAACAATTTGTCAAAGGAGCACCTTTTGCTGTTATTACTTGGCTAAATAAATTTAATTTTTCTCTTGTTAGTTTTATCTTGTCAATATTCAATAACAATTTGGAATGGCTATTGTATATGATATTTACTGTTTCATGCACAAATCGTGAAAGTTCATTTTTTGATCTCCCCAACAAAACAGAAATATCATCAAGTCTATTAGGATAAACTAATCTTCGTAATAAAATACATAATGCATCAATTCCAAGTGAACGTGATCCATTTTCACAAATGATTACAGATGGAAAGCATAAAGCAGAATGCAGATGAAACAAATCATCTCTTGAAAATCTGTTAAAATTAAAAATTTTATAAGTATTGTTCCTTTTTTAAGTATTTGCTTTAATTTGTAAATATATCACTTATCGAAAGTAAAACAAGCAATCAGAATCAGTCATTTGATTTAAATTTATTCTTGCTTTTGTCATAGGTAGATCTTTAGTGATATGATATAATAAAATGGCTTCTTCATCTCTTTCATACTGATCCAACAATAGTAATACCTCATCACTAGACTACAAATATAATTTTAATTAAATGCTTAATGTGCGAAAAAAAAAAAAAAGTGAACACAGCTCTTGAGTTTCTGTGGTCACTTCACATTACATTAAAAATATTAAATAAATTTTTGGATTAAAATCGTCTGTTTCTTTACAATGTTATTCATTAATTCTTAAATAATCGTTATTTTAATAAAATAAATCATAATTTTAACCACAAACACAAGAAAATGCAGACGTTTAAGCTGATCGCGTACTCACCTAGCTACATGTAGCAAACTCCATTATCGACGGTCCAGAACTGCCAGATGGCGGCGCTCACCCGTTAGCCATACATGTTTTGAACTAAATATGTGCGCCTCAACCTCTAATATATTTTTCAAATAGTAAATGTAAATATATCAAATCACCCAGTTTAATTTGCAATATTTCCACAAATGTAACAGTACTTTTATATACATGTATAATTTCTACCACTATTCTTTATTATTAATGTTCTCCACAGATCATTTATATAAATTAATAATTCAGTATTTTTAAAAATTAATATATACAGATGTCAAGATGGTCATCATTGAAAAAACTGAGAATAAAATGTTTAAAAATGTAATAAAAAATTTACTTAAAATACACACACTCATCACTGATGAAGCTTCGGAATGGTCTACACCAGGGCTTCTTAAACTATGGGTCGCGACCCCATTTGGGGTCGCTTAGCAAAATCTTGGGGTCACGAGATTTTAATGCAAAATATTGAAAATAATTTGTGAGATTGAAAATGGCACGCTTTGTATCATAGGTTTCGTGAGTTGCGCTTTGTGTCACTTCTGTTGCAGAGAGACAATGATTCAGCAACACTGATTGTAGTGTAAACTAGTGTAGTGTTGTCGCTTTTCAATGTATTCAATGTAGTGTTGTCGCTTTTCACAGTTCACCATTATTGTTTTGGCAAATTTGTATAGGCCTATATCTTTATTTTATATATGGGGGGATCGCGGAAAAAAATCGCAATCATAAATGGGGTCGTGAATAAAGAAAGTTTAAGAAGCCCTGGTCTACACCAGTGGTTCCCAACCTTTTTTCATTAGCGTACGCCGTGACATGTCATATCTCTAGATTGTACCCCTCATTTAAGAAATTTAGTGAGTAACCAAATTGTTAATTTTACATATTGTAACTTTAAATTAAAGAAAAAAAAAACCTAAAAGAAAAAATGTATAATAAAGTTGTGATTGTTGCAAGGAACATTTTTTATCTAATAATTTTTTAATACTATTAGTTTGTGATACATAATATATTATTTTTTCTGCCATAATAACTAACTTTTTTCTGTACCCCTAAACAACCTATTGCCTACCCCTAGGGGTACACGTACCACAGGTTGGGAATCGCTGGTCTACACTGCAATATCACCTATGCCAAACCCACTCAAGAGCATTGTAAAAGTTTGTTGTGTTTCTTGCTCAGAAAATTTTGTTTGTTTTTATTATTGTTTATTGTACGCTTATAAATATATATTATATTTTTATGTAATTTCTTTGATATTTTCAACATACTTAAGTTACACTGAATACACTACAAAAAAAACCTTTCAGTAACATACATTTTAATGAAATATGAACATTTTTGACTTCCTTCTGAGGTCGTACCAAGTTTAAAGATACAAGTTCTATAATGGAACATTTGAAAAGGATTGTTTGCAGAATTCAAATTTATGTTGATAAATTTGAATAGATTAGAAATATGAACCAGTCAGGAGTGTGAAGGTATGAATAGACAGGAATGGGATATTAAGGTCTAAGTGAAGCGTGCCTGCCAAATGCATGAAATTTGTTTTTCGTCTTTATGGTTAATACAGTTACTTAAATGGGATGCTTAGGTTTTTATAGTGTATTCAGTGTTACTGAACAGTCCAGTTTGCAGAGGATATTTCTCTTATTCTTAAGTTTTAATAAGTAAACTAACTGTAAACATTTGAATATACAAATAGAGACATCACTCCCTATGGGAGCAGTAAATTACTGCTCCCTGAAAGAGTGATTGTGAATGTGTTAAGTAATTTATAGAGATTTTTGATATTTTTCTTTATTTATGAAACAAAATATGAAAAGAAATATTATTATTACAATTTAGAATTATTTAATAAGTATTCCTATTAAATATTTATTATAAAGAAAATTTTAATCATTTTCTATAATAATAAAAAAAAAAACTTTTCCAGTTTCAATTAAACAAAAATCTATTCAAAAATTTGAATGAAAGATAATTTTTTTAATGTAAATTTTCACAGAAAGAAAGAATAATTGTTTCCACTTTTAACATAAAGTTTTTTTTTTTTTTGGTTAATTTTCCATTATTTTTCTGTATCCCAAGAAACCAAAATATATTTTATTGTATAGGATTTTTCTAAAATTTAATAGATAAAAATATCTCACTATAATAATATCGTTTTCATCAAATGATGTTTCAAAAACTAATTCTATGTCATGATCAGGATGAAATGAGTTGCCAGTTTCTTCATCATAACCCAGTCCACACAATGCTCCAGTATAATGTTTTCTTTCAGTGTCAGTTCTAATATTCAAAAATCAAAAGAAAAAAATTACTTATTAGATAAAAACAATTTATTAATAACCATCAATAAAACAGTACTTAACAGAATTTAAAGAGAGTTATGTATTATATATATTATATTACATTAAATTATAATTTGATATAGGTTACAGGTTGTCTGCTTAAACAACTATCTGGGACGCAAAAGAGATCTTTTCAAATTTGCCCAAGTGTATGCATGTGGTGTGTGCATGTCCCAGTGCTAAAAGAATCATTCATAGACCAGTCACATGCCTACTTCAACACACTACAAAACACTTACAGCTCATTTCACAAGTCTTAGCTGGGCCATAAAAATGCACAGCAGCAGGGACTAGTCTATTTACTTAGGAAATGAATTGTTGATGAATATTTGACAAGGTCATTGTGCATTACCAAAATGTGGCTCTAAGTTTTAAAAACTTAGAGAGTCCCATCCAAGTGTTACACATCACCTGGACAAGATACATGAAATCATCTGTATATCATACATCACAAACAAAATGAGCCAGCACATCGAACAAAACAACATTCTAACAGAAAGACAGACAAGCTGTCATAGAAATCACAAGGTACAAAGACCACTATTCATATATTCAGAAATTCTTTGACAAGTCCAGAAACAACACACAGAATATACATAGCATATATAAATTACAGGAAGATTTAAAAACATCTCACATTCATGGTTGTTATGTGCACTACACATATAAAATACATTGAACACTTGTTTCTAGAAAACACAATGCAATCCTGGAAAACAACTCTACATCTCAGACTTCACAACACACACATTAAACAAACCAAATACACATAAGATGAGACATTTTAAGAGATATTCTCTATCCATAATGGTTCTGTCTGGCATTAAGCCTACCATCTAAAAGACTAAACAATATAAAATATGGTGACATCAATCACAACAAATATTATCCCACATCATGTACATCAGTGTTTCTCAATCTCTAACGAATCATTGCCCCTTCAACATAGTATTGCCCCCTTCACTTCAAAATTCTGATGCCGAGGGCCAAGACTAACGCCAAATTCGTACTGCATTGAATAGACTAGGGACTAGTATAATGATATTTGTTTAATTATTGTATGACATAACGAAATAAAATATCTAATTATTCTTAATATAATGTTTTACTATATAGTCCATAAAATTGTTTTTTGCCCCCCAAAATATAAATTGTTACTAATCACCCCCTCAACATGGAAAAACGCCCACATGGGGGCAATATCGCCCCCATTGAGAAACACTGATGTACATGAATCACAAAACTATGCATCCAGCCAAGCACAACTAAATCATCTATTAAAAATGACACACACTCCATGGAAATACAAATGAAGTTTAGCCCAGACATAATAATAAGCAAAAAATTTCATATTTAACAAGGAATCCTGAATAACAACTATTTTATACTCAAAAATGGAGACATTTTTAATCCATGGATGAGGGTGAAGTCCACAAATATTTAAGATCCAACAGGCCAAACTCACAGAACATAAACAAACAATTATTTATTGTGACATTGTTATAATGCTGAGTTGAAATTTTTAATCATATTTTTAATGTACGCTATTTAATTTAAAATATGTGCTTTCCACCTCAAATTAGCAGTGGCCTGCCCTTGTACTGTACATCATACTTTTCCTTTAACAACAGAGTTGTGTTGGTCATCTATCTAACACCTTTGGAGAAATTTTTAAATTGAAATATAGTAATACCCCAAACTTATGCGATAGGTGGGACCGAGCGATAACCGCGTAAGTCGGGGTATAATTTCACAATTTGTGTAATATCCAAGTTGGATGTATGTAAGATAATAAATGTTCTCGTTAATCTTATCTTGTCTTTTGATTCGTTCACGGTTACAAGAAATCACCACGTAGAGTCTCTCAAGTCTCCGTAGATATAACAAACACAGAAATAAATAACACAAAATAAATTGTAGCTATGTGTCAATTCCGCACAACACATCCGAACATGTAAGCCGAACAATAGTGTGGGGGGAGTGAGTAATCAAGAGTTGTGTGGTGCTCAAACAAAAGACGAATCGACGAGATTTGAAAATTGCGTAACTCCGGGTTTGCGTAAGTCGCGGTATTACTGTAATGTGACTTCTAGTTTGCAACAAAAGTTCTTATATAGTTAATTGGGGCCTCCTGCCCCTAAGGTTTCCATATATGGTTTCATCTTTCATCTATCTAACTCCATTCTTGATATTAATAAAAAATGGACGAATGGATGACAGTTGGAATTTATAGGTCTACAACTTTTTCAAATTGCAGCCCAACAAATAAAACAAAGATTAACAAGAGCAGATTAAACTCAATACTAACACAGATGAATGCAAAACACACATCTAAAGCATTTAACATAAATTGTTATTCTAGTAATTACATATTCATTTGGAATTATACATTAAACACACAGAACTAGAACAATGCTAAAGAAAAACACAATGTTAACAAAACATAGCAAACACCATCCTTAGTCATCCATATGAAGGCTGACTCTTCCTCATAAAAAGGGAGGATAAAATCTCATATATACAATAAATCTTCATTATAAACATACTCCAAGAGTTTTTCTACAAAAACAAGAGACACCACAATCGAAACAGTTGTAACTTGTACACAAAAACAGCACACCATTGAATCTAAATAACACTGATCTGGATCTAACACAGTACACAAAATGTGCAATCATCATCATAGTCTTGGGCTCAGGAGAAGCTCCATGGTAGACACTAACAAATCTCAACCTTCAAACTCTTGGCTGACTTGTGGATGCCTCTTTGGATACAGAAAGATTCAAAATTTCCATCTATGTATGTATGTATGTATGTATGTATGTATGTATGTATGTATGTATGTCTCTTTCATCCGAAAATTAAGTTCGGTAGACTAGCATTACAGTATTACAGTTCAAAATTTCTGTAAAAGACCAGGTCATAAATTCAGGTTTCTTGTATTTATGACCTACAGAAAACACATTTTAAAAGAACACTTGTAGAAGTGCCACATCAAGTACAAAATTATATAACACATCACAACAAGTTGTAAGCTTTTAGCAAACAAAACAAACATATACATACACACACACAATAATATACTATAATCAAACATCACGATCCATCACAATAGAGCAGACTTCATATTCATTGACAAACAAAACAAAATCTTATACATCGGAGACATAGTTATACAAACACTCATTACATACAAAATACATATACTAAAAAAAATTATTTCACGGGTAGATTGTATTTGCTAAAAAACGATGAAAAATAGCTAAGGTACCTAATGTGGCTATAATCTCTCTTGCATGAGCATACCTACACAAGTCTAAAAACAGGCCTTAATAGCAGCACATACATTACACAAAGTAGCCACACTAAACATGTCAGTCAGTCAATTTTTAAATACAGAAACATACAACACAGCTTTCTCAACACAGTACATTGTATTGTAACAATAAAGTAGGACACAATCCACCTGCAATAATAATAATAATAATAATAACTTTCCCGTGGTCATCACCTGGTTGTGGTGGGAGAGCCCAGTAATTTTACTGATCCATAGAGCAATGCAGGCTAAAGCACAAGCTCCTGGTAGGGACACCCATGCTAGTAAGGTCTATGGGGAGAAATGAAGCTAAGAGTGACCACACACCCACATTCTGTGGAGATTTTTATCATGTGATACCGGCTCATGATTTTTATCATGAGATCAAAGTGTGATACCGGCTCTGACATTGCCTGGGTTAACAAGGTCTGCATTGGTGGGTTAGGCAGAGGATCACGTTCAAAAAATAGGCCACAGTCTCCCTTGGTTACCGATGGCGAAAGCAGCATTGGCCCAAGCATGGCTACTGCAATGCCCTCAACAGATGTGAGGAATCAACCTAGCCTTGGTGTTTCTGTGGCAATGCATCCACAGACCACAAAGGCTGGAAAACCACGCCAACAGATGAAATAGACAACAGAAATGAATGAGTTTATGATCCGTACTTACTACATCACAAAACTCAAAACAAACATGACAGCATACAGACAACTACTACACCATAGATTCACACAACAATATCCTCACCTCACTGTCACCAAACAAAGGGTTGTCGATCAAAAAAGAACAATTATACACAACAACCTTATCCCACAAACAACACTTGAACTTATCAAACAACAGGTTGCTGATCAAATACATCAACAGACAGAAACATTTAACATTAATGAAGATCACGTAACCTGTCAGGATAATCCAGCAACAAGCATTGATAATAGTACACACACAACAAGTACCACTAATGATACTGCAGGCACTTCCCCATCCATCACTGATAACGTAGACATAGAATTAGTTAATACGCTCTCACTTATATTTCAGGAAACACTCATTAAATATACTGGTACAGATCCCACACAAAGACCACGAATACCAAAAATCAACACGTCAAAGGCAGTAGGAAAAACACTAGATTATGTAAACACTCACTTACTACCAAACTACATTCATTCAATTTCTACACTCTCAGACATTCATACATTAGTTTATGCTAGGGCAGCCACACTAGTAACACTCCATGGTCTGAAAATACAATCGCAGACAGATACACACAAAACACAATTCTATCACAAGCCTGCCTGGCAGAGAAGAATAGAAACACAAATAAATGACATTAGACAACAATTAGGCAAACTGACACAATATACTAAAAACAACATAACACCCAAATTAAAGAAATAACTCAAAAACATTTTCAAGAAAATCAAAACACACACAAAACACGAACAGCACAACACACACATTACAGAATACATTGATACACTAAAACAAAAACTCGCAGCCAAAGCACGTAGACTCAAAAGATACAAAACATGTACATTACAAAAACAACAAAATAAATTATTCACAAACAATGAAAAACTTTTCTACAGACAAATCAGTACCAAAACAAACACTGAAAC